GATTTTGAAATATCGAAGTAAGCAGGTTGTGTTGTAATAATTGCACTCCACTTTTTCTGCTTCAAATCAAAATAGTTTTTTTTTTAAATCAGTCAGATAAGTCGTAAAAACACCATTAAATTGGTTACAATCCCTATTTTTTCATATTTTAATTTGTTTTTTTCTTCACTAAAATCTCCATGAACAAAAATTTCTTCAACAAATTGATAATGTGAAGGGTTTTCTTCAAAATGGGAACGTTACAATCAACCAGCCGACAATTGTTGTAATTGCTGAAAAGCCTAATAAATATTGAATGGGAAATATCTGAAGCACAAAATGTTTACTACATCATCATCAGCACCGACAACAACATCGCCCTTCTTACTTTCGCGCCATTAACCCCTTCTTGCCTCGAATATTCCCGCCAAGTAGATAAACGACCGGGCATTAGACGGCGAGGTAATTACCGGCAGTGAAAACAATTGAAAAGTGTATGCCGGTGCAAATTATTGCGCCCCAGTGCATTACATCGGCCTATTTGTCTATTTCTTTCCATAAAATCATAAGCGCTCGTGTGCGCGCGTTTGTGCGCGTTCGCTTTTTTTGTCGGCATGCAATCGAGTTTGTGCGCTTCGGTTTGCATACTTTATCTCTGTGTGTGTGTCTGGCATGTGCGTATGCGTGCGTGTGTGCCTGCGTGTATGTGTGTCTGAGTGAGGGTTTGAGGGTTTCTTATTTATTTTTCAAGCGGTGTTTTTGACTTATGTGCATATCGTAGGTAGGCTAGTCGCGAATTCACTCTTCAATAATAAAGGAACATGAAACATTCAAGAGCAACTAACGTGCAGTTGAGTGCATCTGGGTTTGCACGTCAGTCAGCGCGCTCAGCTTTGGTGCAGTACTCACTCACTCACTCACTCACTCATTCACGCACGTCAACGGCATCACACTTCAGCGTCTCATCATTCGGAATTGTAATAAAAATTGATGTAAGAAGAATATAACATGATCTCACGTCGCCCTAGTCACGTGCTCACAAGTTGGCAAGGCACTGTCGGACGTTGAAAAAGTTGTGTTCGTTGGGTTAATCATCAGCACGTGACTTCAACGTTCATCAAAGCCTACTATCCAGAACCCGGCAACAACCTAATTTAACGGTGCGTGTGCCCGGGCCTGCTTGCGTGTATTACCTACATGTACCCATCGTGTGTACCTAATGTGTGCACCTAATGTGTGCACCCAATGTACGCACTTAACAAATGCACCTAATGTATGCGTCCAACGTCAACAACTTATACGTCAGTGCCCTGCGAAATCTTCTTCACGTTTACACAAAAAGCGTCGGAGTCTGAGATTTTTGCCAGTTCTTTGGGAGGCCAGAGTGGGAGTCGTATATTATTCACCTGCCTGACACCGCTTATACTGAGTTTAATTTTAATAATATCGTCCACAAAACCAAGCAGGTAAATTTTTTCAAAACTTCGGAACAATCAAAACCGGGAAGCGAGAACTATATTAATATTTCTAATAACTAAAAAAAAACGAAAAACTAAACAAAAAATAAAAATAACGAAACAAACTTGAATGTAACGTGCCAACAAAAGCTCAGTCAACGCATCGCAATGACATCTAAAGAATGCTCTCTTACTATAGGATTGATGAAGAAAGAGATTACAAGATTATCCAAATGACGATCGCTTTAAAAATTCATCATGAACAAATAAACTGGAATAAATAGTGTTTCGTTATTAATAATTTCATCATCGTCGTCGTCGTCACAGCTTAATCATCATCACCATCATCGTCGTCACCATCATCATAGTGTATTTTTTCTTTATCACCAAAAATGGAAGACATACACTCACTCATTCACTCTCTCTCTCTCTCTCTCTCTCTCTCTCTCTCTCTCTCTCTCTCTCTCACAAACACAAACAAAACATAACGATGACTAAAATATTAATAACAAACAAGTGTATTATGAAAAGCAATAAAATATGTCGATAACCAAAAACAAAAAAAAAACAAGCGATACAAAATAAAAATGATACCTTAAAGTAAAAGTCTTATTTAAATACATTTTGGTCCCCAAAGCCAGGAAATCTGTTTGGCATTAATAATTCGAGGATCAAATCATTGGTTCCATGCCGGAATTAAGTCAATTTTAAGTTAATTGAATAAAGCTAATCGAGCAATTAAATAAATAATTAATTAATTTAATTATTTTTAAATTATTGTTCGGCTGTATGTTATATTATAATGGTAATTTAAAATAAATATATTAATGTTATTAGGTATGTTAATAAATACGCATTAGATATGAATAGTATTAAGAAAGATGAATGTATGTATACTTTCATGTACTTTAAACAAATATAAGTATTATAATGGTATTGTGCTGTATTGTACATACATTATATTGTATTGTACTTTATTGTATTGCATTGTATTGCATTGCGTTGTGTTGTATGGTATTGTATTGTACAGTTTGTTGTATGGTACAAGTTTTGAATGACATTCAAAAAAGAGACCATCAACAGTGAAATAGAAATCATACCGACATCGGAATGGCTGATTGTTTGATTGATTGATTGACTGATTGATTGGTTGACTGATTGATTGTTTGATTGTCTTTAGCGTATATCTGCAACTCAAAAATTCATTTTCAGAGGATGGTGAAAAAAAATGTTTGACACTTTCTTTTAAATACAAAAATTTGAGTCAATATTACTAAATTCTATACATTCCATACAAAAATCCGATAAATAGGAAGCTTCGTTCTTATAAATCAAGTCAGACGAACTTTAAATAACGACAAATAGTTGAATCTTTTAAAATTAACACATCTTCTGTTTGAATATTATCTAATGAAAAAACAAAAAAAACTCACACAATCTATCTCATGAGGTGAAGCTACGAGCAAGAAATTTAAAACAAACAACCAGACATCTCTTCAAATAAATAGCACAACTCATCCAGTGTAATCAAAACGCTAACAAAAAAAATCCGCCAATACCCTTTTCCAAGAGTCTCAAAAACCAAATTAGCCACTTTAATTCAATCCGGATATGGAAATGAAAAATTATTTGGTAACAGTAGCAGAACGGAATGAAATTCTAGCTCATTCACCCCGTCTGATAGAATTACATAATGATACATACACATATTAACGCCAAACATTCGGTAGAATTTATAGAATATTGTAAAAATATATATATATATAAATATATATATATATATATATATATATATATATATATATATATATATATATATAACACAATAAAAGACATATAACTATGTACACATACACATATATAGCATAAGTAATGGTATCCAAATTAAAAATGATACGGACAAAAACATGCATACACACACATATACACGTGCACACACATACACATGTACAGAAACGTACATACACACGTACACAAACATACATTTGACGTCTACATAAATGATGTATAAAACTTAAATAATGACAATCAAAACAAAAAAAATGAACCACTTATAATAGGCCATATAATGTTTTTTTATATATACATAACAATACGATGTTAAATGGAACAGGGAAAAAGACAATTTCAATTTGATTTTTACATCTCACACACACACACACAAACACACACACACACAATTAGGTGGAAATGACTTGAAAGGACTCATAAACGTGCAGTGATAAGATAAATTAATTAATAATAATAATAATAATAATAATAACAACTATAATAATATAAATAGTAACAATAATAAGAACAACAACAGCAAGAACAAAGTCAAACAACATTAACAAGATTATTACAAAACCCTCAATAACAAAGAGATCGTATTTAATACATTCCAAAAAGCATCAACATTTCTTTTTCTTTTTATTTCTTTTATTATTTTTGTTTTTTAATATTTTATTTATTATTTAATTATACATATATTTATACCTATTACATCATAAACAACAATGACGAAAGCGAGCTGTTAATAACAAATCAACGGGATGATAATGACACGAGATGTGTCGATAATAAAACTTAGGTGGTCTAACTGTAAATACTAATGAATATTATCAAATATTAATGAATATCAATGAATATTAATGAATATTAATGAAAATTAATGGATATCAATGAATAATAATGAATATTATTGAAAATTAATGAATATTATTGAATACTAATGAACATTAATGAATATTAAAATGGATATTGATGAACAATTAGATGATTAGATTTAATTAATTAATTAATTAATTAGTGAAAAAAATAATCAATCAATTACGTTACAAAACTTACGTAACACGGATATTTGTCAAAAATTAAAATGACAGTGGAAAAAAAGTATTTAGAAAAAAAAAATCTAGAAGATAAAAATAATTTCATCATGCGAAAGATTGATTACATTAAGTAATTTCGTAATATAATAACACGCTACAATTACTGTATCAAATATTTAATAAAGTTTCAAAGGAATCATAGAATTTGGTAAATATTTCCATCATCATCTTCATCATCTCCATCATCTTCATCATCTCCATCATCCTCATCATCATCCTCTACGTCATCATCATTTCCTGTTCCGCTTCTTCATGTTGTACTCATCAATTTGCTTCAGTATCAACGGTTTTTGATGAAGATAGGCATTTATTCTATCGATGGCATAATCCTGTCGCGCGTGTGTGTGTGTGTGTGTGTGTGTGTGTGTGTATTATTGAATGTTTGTGCGTGTTTATTTAAGTTAGGTGTGTGTATGTGCTGCGCAGATATGTTTGAGAAGAACATCTATTTATCTAACTTCTCAGCATACTTCAAATGACAGAGCTATTCATTCAGCTGCTTTTTTTCATATGCACGCATTAGATTGCTTGGTATCACCATTTTTTAGAATCATCTTTTTAAGAAAATTTACCATCAACCGACCATTCCAAGCAATCAATCAATCAATCAATCAATCAATCAATCAATCAATCAATCAATCAATCAATCAATCAATCAATCAATCAATCAATCAATCAATCAATCAATCAATCAATCAATCAATCAATCAATCAATCAGTCAATCAATCAATCAATCAATCAATCAATCAATCAATCAATCAATCAATCAATCAATCATTCAATCAATCAATCAATCAATCAATCAATCAATCAATCAATCAATCAATCAATCAATCAACCAATCAACCGACCAACCAACCAACCAACTAACTAACTAACCAACCAACCAACTAACTAACCAACCAATCAACCAACTAACTAACCAACCAATCAACCAATAAACCAACTAACAAACCAATCAACCAACAATCCAACCAACCAACCATGTATCCAAAAATAATCTTCGACTTCTTCCACTGCACAATTGACCATAGGCACCACATAAAATGGGAGGCCAGGGCAAACGAACAAGCTTCCAACACCAAGCCATCCTCATCATCTTCCTCGCCATCATCTTCATCGTCGTCATCACCATCGTCTGCATGATTGCCATTGTTATGGTGGTGGCCATTTGAGATATCACCCCTTCCGTTGTTTCCGTTGTTGTTAGTGTTGGTGGTGGTTGCAACGTAGAATGACCTTTTCTCTTTAAGGTACTCCCTGATAAAGTTCAGCTGGTCGTGGGGGGGGATATATTATTATAGGTTATAGTTTATTGTTGGTTGAGTTAAATTAGTAAAATTTTCATCTCTTCTCTGAATCATTCACATATCAAGCCATTCACATACATTCATCTATTTATCTGTCTCCTACAATCCTACATACCCATCCATGCATCTATCCAACTCTCTATCTATCCATTTATCCATCCATTTATCTATTTATCCATCTATCTATACACCCATCTATACATCCATCTATCCATCCATCCATTCATCTATCTGTCGATCTATTCATCCACCTATCCATCCATCCATCCGTCCGTCTGTTCGTCCTTCCATGCATGCATGCATGCATGCATTCATCCATGCACCTGTTGTTCTTTGTTTGGGAATTGATCGAGCCTAGCGGCATAGTAGGGATATTCATTGACGTTATAATTGTAGCACCACTCACAGAAGTGATTGCCGATGTCGAAACCCCTGGCGGAGAAGTTGAAATTTCAAAATAATTTTTTGATATGTCGGTTGCATTTTACATTTGGATACAATTTTCAATCAAATTCAGTCAATCAGTCAGTCAGTCAACCAGCCAATCCTGCAATCAACCAATCGATCGATCGATTGGTTGATTAACAAGTAACATATAAACTACAACAACTCCAACCGATAGTTGTAGCTGGAATATTCGAAGTCGATCGGCCGGACAATGTCCGTAAAGTGATCCTTGACGGACGAATCAACATTCGACTTGTCCCCAGAATACAAGATGTTTCCTGCTCAAGTATTGTTCATCAACCAAGTAAAAATTGTACGCTGTACCGAATGTTTGTATAAATATTTGTATGTATGTGGTTGAGTGTACGTGTTTGCGGGTTGGAATGTGTTAGCAATTGCGTATACTAAGCTTGAAATGTGGTACTTTCATTCATATATCAGTTCATTATCATTAATATAGGCATTTCTTTATTTATTAATTTTTTTACTCATTCAATCATAAGTTTTTTAATTATTTTGCTTTATTTGCGCTTGCTCGCTCGCTGACTCTCACTCACTCACTCACTCACTCACTCACTCACTCACTCACTCACTCACTCACTCACTCACTCACTCACTCACTCGCTCACTCACTCGCTCGCTCACTCACTCACCTTCCTGAAGATCGTTATGGCAGAACACAACAGGCGAGTTCACCTTTTTCAATAAGTTCCTGCAATGATGATGTTGATGATGTGACTACAAAGATATGACGAAACTACTGATGGTGTGATTATAAAGTGATGATGGTGATGATGATGGTGATGATGATGGTGATGATGATGTCACGGTTGATGTCACCATGACGATAAAAAAACCCAGAAAATGACTTAAATGACCAGCGATGACAAGATGAACGCAAGCCTACACTGTTAATTAACTAAAAGTTGGATAGAAAGCTGGCTCTAGATCAATAATAATTCATATATCCACAACACATTTCAATCATTCCAATTCACACTTTGATACTATCATAGATACTAGATACCATGGATAATAGATACTATAGATACTAGATACCATAGATACTAGATACTACCAACACATCTACCAACAAACTACAACAATGTGTGCATATTGTGGTACCCCCACAGAGAAAAAAAACAAAGAATAAAAAAAATTGCCTCCATAACGAACTTTAAACTTTTATATTCTTTGGAAAGGTCAAGGTTAAGCAGGTACTTCAACTTATCGACAGCCCCACCGTCCAGGGTTGAGGGCAAGGAATTCAACGAAGATGATGACGACAATGACGACAGAGATGACGACGATGATGACGTCAAACTTTTCAACTTTATCACTCCTTTCAGGTACCTACAGTGGTTGTAAGCGTTTGTTTGTTTATTTGTTTGTTTGTTTGTATGTGTGTTTGTTTTTTTGTATATACGTTTTTATGTGTATATGCATACTATATTGTGATATTCTTGAAGCAAATTAGTCCATGGTATTAAAATAACTTTAAAGAAAATTCCTTTCTTATTCATCTAATAGTCACGTTACAATTAATCAAAACATTAAATGTGAACATGTGCCCACTAAGTAAATCAAAAACCCTCCATCCTCTAGCATTCATCTTTCTTCTCTCTCTCTCTCTCTCTCTCTCTCTCTCTCTCTCTCTCTCTCTTTCTCTCTCTCTCTATTCATATTCGTAATGGCTGAATTTGATTACAGCGTAAAGTTTGATGAATGAACATAATTAAACAAATAAATGAATGACTCACAGAAATCAATTTGATAATAAAAAAAAAATATATAAAGTAATATCCGCGTAACAAAATTATCATCGTCATCGTCGTCGTCGTCGTCGTTATTATCATCATCATTATCATCATTATCACCACATTATCATCATCACCTTGACGTCATTGTCAGAGTACTATAATAAAAATAAATAAAATAATAGTTATAACATCAATAATAATAACAATAATAGTAATAACAAAGATATATGAGATGTGGCCACCATACCACACCACACCACAGTTACCTTTCAATGGTGTCAAATAGCCATTTGGGTTTCTTGACCATGGGCATTCGAAGTCTATGGAATCTGGACATGATGCGGGCACATGCCCTCGAGATTGTGGGGTCATGTAGTTCACAGGTCTTCAAGACCCGTGCCTGTTAATGTGCGGGTGAGTTATCGTTACGTCATCATCGTCGTCGTCACTTACGTCATCACAATCAACGTCTCGTCGTGATAATGATGTAATTGCTGACGTCACAGGCAAACTCGTAGAAAGAATTGTATCGTTATAGCGATCATCGTCTTCGTCATCCTTACACCATGGTATCGTAGTCGACCTGATAGATGCCCTTCATTCATCAAACTTTCCCGAATAAAAATTCTACTTTCAACGTGATGGAACGACAACTTGAAACAACAAAACAACAACGCTAACAATAAAACGACGAACAAACAAGCAAACAAACAAACAAGCAAACAAACAAACAAACAAACACTAACAGGGACGAATTCCTCAATCCTTCCCTTAGTGAAGACTCCATACAACTTGGGACCCATCTTCCTTTCGGCCAGTAGGGTGTAAACTACGGAATCGATAAGCACAACGTCCGAATTGTCCGTGATGATCTCCCCGTAGAACCTCACGAGGACAGTGCGGACCTCACTCCTGGACATTGGAACGTGATCCGCGAGGGAGCATTTGTACAGGATGTTGCTCAGTCCGCCGCTGGTTAGTTAGATGGGTGGGAGGTTATAGAGTTGAAAGGGGGGAAATCGTGAATGAATGAATGAATGAATGAATGAATGAATGAATGAATGAATGAATGAATGAATGAATGAATGAATGAATGAATGAATGAATGAATGAATGAATGAATGAATGAATGAATGAATGAATGAATGAATGAATGAATGAATGAATGAACAAATAAATAGACGGATGAATAAATGAATTAATTAATGGATGTATAAATGAGTGAATGAATTAATGGATGGATATGAATGAATGAATGAGTGTTTTTTTTAAGTTACAAAACGATATATTGAAATTAAAATAATATTCTATGAACGAGACAAAAATTCCAGAACTAATAAATCATTTTATATTTCGTATTATTTTTTTCAAAAATAAAATTAAATAAAAAACGAAGACAGAAAACACAACCAGCCAACCAACCAGCCAACCAACCAACCAACCAGCCAATCAACCAACCAACCAACTAACCAACCAGCCAACCAACCAGCCAACCAACCAGCTAACCAACCAACCAATCAATGACTTCAACATAAAAAACAGTATGAGTACGAAATATGAATTGCTAATTGTTATGAAATCAGAAAGAAAGGTTAACATTAATTAACGTTAAGAATGTCCGAGGTGTATGAAATGAAAAAAACTGAAAAAATGGGCGAAATGAAGAGGAAAAAAATGGGACAAATGGAAAAAATTGAGGGCAAATGTTTTTACGTGATGTGCTCCATGATGAAATCCTCGATTGATGCACTGAACCAGGAGCCTCCCAGATAATCCTGACAATATTCGAATCCTTCCTTTCTAAGGAACTCGTCCGTTATCTGCTTACCCGCCATTGTAGGTCGTCTGTATCTGGAGTAGTCGGGACAGTGATTGGATGAATTAATGAATGAATGAGCGAATGAATCATGGAATCAATTAATTAATCAATGAATTAACGAAAGAATGAATGGATAGATGAAATAATTAATAAATAGATAAATAAGTAAATGAATGAATAAATGAATGAATTAATAAATGAATTGATGAATGAATCAATGATTCAATGAATGAATTAATGAATGAATAGAATGAACGAAAAAATGAACCAATGAATGAACGAACGAACAAACGAACGAACGAACAAACGAACGAACGAACAAACGAACGAACGAACGAACGAATGATTGAATGAATGAAAGAACTATTTACAACAATCGTGATGTTTATATGGATGGATAGATTAATGTTTAATTGAAATAATACTGATGACGTTTTGATAGATATGACATATACCATGTATCAATGGATGGATGGACGGTTAAATGGAATGACATGTTGTCCGTATTATCATTACTTATAATAAAATACGCTATTAGGATATTAGGTAATCTAAAATTTACATAAAATATATATAAATATATATAAAAAATATATATATATATATATAAATTCATTATTCATGAAAAATTTCAAACTTATACAATACAATACAAACGTCAATAAATATCGATCCTGTCAAGTTCTCCAACATAACGAACTATGCAAGTAAAGGTAGTGTTAGTAAAGAATAAAAAAAAACAAAAAAAAAACAAGACTTATGCATAAGAATGTTAATAACAAGATGTCATTAGCTAACTTTCAAAAAACATCTCTGATGTACTCTTTAGGATAAATAACATTATCAATATATGCATTATAACGGCCAGATGTATATATATATATTACTGACATGATAGCGTCCTAAATGTAAGGTAAACGCATTTTATTGAGATTATAGTTTGAAAATGTAAAGATTGATTAGCGAGAAAGAAACCTATTTGCACAGCTGCATACTTATGGACATGAATGGAGCATTTCGAATGATGAGATGGTGTAGTGGTTTAGACGGCAGGCTCCGTTGCTGCTGAAGTTCCTGAGTTCGAATGCCAAAAGAGCCACGTTGTGTGATGCTGGTATACCCAAGAAAATTATTTGAGAGAGACTTGTAAAAAGAAAAATAAGAAAAACTTGAAATTATTTTTCAATATCTTAGATATCTCAACCATTTTGGCTGCGTCAAAATCAAATAAGCGACTCATTTGCACTACTTTTGTTATTATAAATTCGGAAATTCTGTAAAAAAAAATCAATTATATTTTTGCAGCTGTTACTTAGAATGGGACCATTCTTTAACTTTAATTTAATTGCCTCAGCTCATACTAGCACACCCCTCAAAATAGCATAGCAGCTTAAAAACTTTATATTATAAAAATAGCTGATATATTTATAAAAGAAGATTTTTATAAAATAATTGTATGCATGTGTGAGTATGTATGTGCATACTGCATGTGCGTGTGTGTGTGCTGTATGTGCGTGCGTGCGTGTGCACCATTCATGCTACAAATTGTTTCAATGATATTTTGAATAGGTAAAAGTAGATGTAATATAATTGTATCTGACTTATCAATAACTTCTGAATTAATAAATAAATGGTTAGCATAACCAAAATTACTAAATTAGAACCAACAAAGTATATATTTGTAAATATTAATTTGAAATGGAAAAAAAAACAAATTCATCAAAACCAACATATCAAAGAAAATAAAAAGAGTTTAGATGAAAAATTTTAAACCATATAACGAGTAAATAATGGAGACAGTTCGTAGCTGAACTATCCCAGAAACTTATGACGAAATCTGATAGAACTCCTCGACGAACATAGAAAAAAAAAAATTTTACCTAACCAATTTCATTAGGAGTCTTCTAACGAATATAACTAACAAATTAATTAATTATTTAATTAATCAATCAATAAATTAATCAATCAATAAATTAATTAAAACAATCAAATATTGAAATAACTCAACAAAAATTCGACCAGACGTAAATAAAATTAAGCTTTTATTTTATTTATCAGTTTAATCAGTTTCAACAAAGACCGAACTATTTATAAATAAAACAATCTCCACTCTATTGTTTCATGAAAGCTTTCAATGACAAGAAAATATCTTCTAAGTTCTATATCTATATGTATATCTATCTATCTATATCATCTGAATCGTAATAGCCAGTGATGTAACAACATTCGATATAAAAAGATTCGCTATCCCAGAATTTAAACTTATTAAGCTAATTAAGACAATTTAACAACGCATTTGATAACTTATCTTAACACAACAGTGTATATCATACTCTAAGAAAGAAGCTATAGACACACAAACACAAAACTAAAGTGATATGTGTCGACTCAGTGTGTGCTACTATTCCTAACGTACAACGTTAAGCCAAATATGATACCCATGTGTTGTTGTATGTATGCGTCTATGTGTGTTTATAAATGTTTTTATATATGCACATGTATATACATACACATCTCTCTCTCTCTCTCTCCCTTTTTATTCCTATGTCCTCTTCGCTCACCTACATTCTTCCTCTTCACCTAATTTACCATTCTCTCTATCATTTCATCATCATTGCAACAACAACCCATTTCGACCCACCGTTAGGAGCAATGCCCACATAAGCTTCTTTCCCTGTTTCGTTCCCTCTCTCTCTCTCTCTTTCTCTCTCTCTCTCTCTCTTTCCTTCTCTCTCACTCTCTCGTTCCCTCTCTCTCTCGCTTTTTCTATTCTCTCCTTCCTAACACCCAAAATCTCATCTACGCGTGTCTCAATCATTATGGTTTATTCATTACAACAAAAATTACACACACACACGCACGCACGCACACACACACGCACAAATTTAAGTGACAAATTAAGCAAGTAAACAATGCAAAAACAGCAATTCAACTCAGAAACAAACGTCTCATAGAAGATATACTATCAAAATTTATTGATACACAACGGTAAAAACGAAAATTCGCCTATAAACTTTTAATGCTAGGCTAATAAAATATTTTAGATATTTGCTCTGCTAATGCTCAAATCGTGGAAAATTACCAGAGTGTGTTGATGATGACAAAAATAATTACGTAACGCACATAACAAACACACACACACACGCACAAACACATACACATACACACATATATATATATATATATATATATATATATATATATATATATATATATATATATATATATATACAATATTTACACTGTTCTATTCTGTTTATTCTGAAGTACTTGAAACCAAACCATAGAGCAAAAACATTGATCAAAAATTTTAACAATTCGGCACAGCCAAGTTATTTTGAATAATCGATTCCTTCAATATATTCGTATACCGTTAGTAAGTTTTTTTATGATGTAACTATAGTTACGAAACATTTATTATCAAAAATTAAATGCACCAACCAGCTATTTAGTAGTATATATTATAATCAGCATGGATGTTATTCACTTAAGCAATCTGCCCGAATCAACACACACACGCAAACATGCAACAATACTACATGGGAAATAATGGGTAGTCAGTAATATTGTATCAAGCAAGACGCATGTTGAAACACATAAAAAAGTAAAGTTCACGCAACTTATTAGCTTAAACAGTAGTACACACGCAGCGTACACGCGCAAACACCGCAAATCACAAACAAACATCGTGCACGTTTCTGCTTTCCAGATGGGCAGAGGTGTGTGGATGGAACACAGTCACAACAACTCTAATGGCAAATATTTCATCGTTCTAGTTCCTAATAAAAACAATACTGATGATCTTGCGCAGTTTACTAAATGCGTGTTAACAATTCAAACATCGATCGCAAAATAGACAGCCGACGTAAAAAAAAAATAAATTTTAGCAAAATAACGCTTATAATTACTCTTAGAAACATTTAAAGATGTGTCTGTCTGTATGTGTGTACGCATGTGTGTGTATGCGTACTTGTGTGTATTTGATCTAATTTGAGTATGACTGGTGTTAGTTGCGTGTATAATTGTATAAATTTTCCTAAGACGTACATGCATACGTGTGCACAGTCACGTACGTACATACCTACAACCTAATTATGTCATTCAAAGTCTAAAGACATCACAGACAGATGAATGGATGAATGAATGAATGAATGAATGAATGAATGAATGAATGAATGAATGAATGAATGAACGTCAGATGGAGGAAGTTAAGTAACCGTGGCGGAAGATTCATTGTGACGAGTTGAACATTTTGAAGTTTTT